TCGTGTCCTGGGCTTTATCCTTAGATTACGCATTTCTGGGAACATCCTGGATTATATTTTTGCTCTGAAGCCATTTTAATTTTAGCATGTTCTGCTGCTGTGGTTAAACTGTGTCCTCCAAAAGGATATGTTGAAGTACTAATTCCTGGTACCTGTGAATGTGACCTTATTGGGAAATAGGGTCTTTGCAGAGGTAATCAAGTTAAAATGAGGTAATCAGGGTGGATCCTGATCCAATATGACTAGTGCCCTGATAAAAAGAAGAGACAACAGAGACATATGGGGAGACATCATGGGCATGTTGTGTGATGACAGAGGGGGAGACTGGAGAGATGTGGCTGCAAGTCAAGGACTGCCAGCAGCAACCAGAAGCCAGGAAGGGCAAGGAAGGACTCTACCCAGTGTCTCAGAGGGCGCATGGCTCTGCTGCCTCCATGATTTCAGACTTCTGGCTTCCAGAGCTGTGAGAAAATAAATCTCTGTTATTTTAAGCCACCTAGTCTGTCGTGCTTTGTCACAACAGCCCTAATAAATGAACACATTGACCATATGGAGAGCTTGTGGATCTTCAAAACCATATTAAGTGCCAGGTCCTTCATGTTAAGAGCTCTTTCCTTGAGGTTCTCTCTCTCTTCTTGCACGTCACTATAAGCTGCAATAAGAAGGCAGGCAGCATCTTCAACTTTCAGGATGGACATCTCCTTCGCTGGATCACTTCATTGATTGGATACATTTTTGACTTTCCACATGACTTCAGGCAACAGTGTTGCTACAGCTCTGCCACTACGTAACAGGATCCTCTTCCTTCATTTTCCAATAATTTTACCTCACTTTCCCACAAATGCTCACCTACAGTTTAAGACCATAAAGGTTTCTGGTAATACTTTCTGAAAGTCATTTTAGGCTTCCACTAGGACTCTTCTCAAAGCTCACTGCACAGTTGCAAAGCCACACCCCCACTGAGGCTTTTGTTATGTCAGCACTCAACTTTTGGGTACCCAAATCTGGATTAGGTATCTGCTGCTGTGTAACAACCTGCCCCAAACCTAGTGGATTAAAACACCAAGCATTCATTATGCACACAGTTTCCAAAGTCTGGGAATCCAGAAGCTGCTTGACGGTGTGGCTCTGGCTCAGGGACTCTCATGAGGTTGCAGCGAGTGTCGACTGTCCCATGCTTGCAGTCTGTGAAGCTGTGACTGGGGCTGCAGGTTATGCTTCCAAGGTTACCCACGTAGTTGTGGGCAGGAAGCTTCAGTTCCTTGCCACCTGGGCCTCCCCATAGGGCATGTTTATGACATGGTTTTGCCCAGAGTTATTAGAGATAGGGAAAGAGAGAGAGTGCAACAGAGTGACCAAGATGGAAGAAACATGCCATTATTTCTGCTGTATGTCACACAGATCAGCTCTGGTACAGCATGGGAGAGAACACTCAAGGGTGCAAATATCAGGAGGAGGGATTCTTGGCGGGGTTCGTCTTGGAGGACAAAATGTATTCTGCACACACAGGCTCATGGTTATGGGGTCATCATTTTGCTTTTCTGGTTAATGCTTTTGATAAGATTAATCTTACCAACTGGTAGAGGCTGGGTTGTGTTATCTAAATTCAAACATTGATGTCCCAACTCCTAGTACGTCAGGATGTGACAACATTTAGAGATGGGAGTCTTGAGAGAGGTGATTCAGTTAAAACGAACCTGTTAGAGTGGGGCCCTAATGCGATATGACAGTACTCTTGTAAGAAGAAGGGCACCAGGGGTGTGGGTACATGAATGGATGGCCATGAGAGGTAGCAAGGGGGCAGCCACTGCAAGCCAAGGAGAGAGGCTCCAAGAAAACCAACCCCTCGGGAAACTTGATCTTGAACTTCCAGCCCCAGAACTGTGAGAAAATAAATTTCTGTTGTTTAAGGGGCTCAGTCTGTGGCATTTTGTCCTGGCAGCCCTAGCTAACCAATACAACAATCTTTTGAGAGACACCTGAAAATACCCTGCTTTTGCCAACACACATTTACTCATCGTTTACTTTTGAAAATCTTTTAAAATATCATTTTTGTTTTGATATGTATAGTTATACATCAATGCATATAATTAGATTTGTTTCTATACACAGTGTGTAATCTAATCTAATCTGAGAGTCTGTGCTTTTACTAGGAGGATTGAAACCTCTTTCATTTCATATTATAGTCCATTTTAAATCTAATCCCCCACTTTCCAGAGGTGGGAGCTGGAGGGATTTATGGCTCTCTAGAATGAAAATGTATCAAAAGCTGCCTCTCCACTGCTTATTGTGGACTGACTTAAGGGATCATATTGTAATGGAAATGTTGTTTTCAAAGAATTACCAGATCAACTTAGTTCAAGATCAAAGCATTAATCTTTTGGGGCCAGAGAGAGGGGTCTTGAATTGAGCCAAATTAGAAGAGACAAAGGGGATATCACAATTAATGGGAAACAGATTTAGGGAAGCAGTCCCAGAGAAATTCTCAAACCAAGGAGCAATTCTGAGTGGGAACTTTTTAACCAGCTCTCCTGGCCTCGGTGTGGGTTCACTTAAAGGAGCCGCACTGGAGTGTCTTTGAGTCTCCTAAGAACATGCTTTCTGATTTGTTCTTTGCTCTGCTCTGATTACACAAACTTCTGGACACCTGTTTATCTTCTCTGCTTTGTCTGCTGCAGTGATTTGGAAAACAAGCATTCTGTGTTCAGTAGTTAGGTTAGCTTTCAATGTAATAAAACGTATCTATTTCTCTAGTAACTAGAGAAACATAACCTACGTTTCTCTAATTACTAAAGTCAGAACAAAACAAGGTCTTTTGCTTACTCTGTAATTAAAGTAAGAAATTCAGCATGTTTTCACTTTGTCTTTCATCTTACCTTAAAAAATAGTATAGACTATTACAGAACCAGTTTATCCATTTTTTCTAAAAAAATAATTTTTTTCCAAAAAAATATTTTCAGCTTCCATATTTAATTTTAGGACTTAAAAAAAAATTTTTTTTGAGACAAGTTCTCTCTCTGTTGCTCATGCTGGAGTGCAGTGGTGCAATCTCAGCTCACTGCAACCACTACCTCCCAGGCTCAAGCGATTTTCCTGCCTCAGACTCCTGAGTAGCTGGGACTACTCAGCTAGTTTTGCCATATTGTCCAGGCTGCTCTCAAACTTCTGAGCTCAAGCAATTTGCCCTGCCCTGGCCTCCCAAAGTGCTGAAATTGCAGGCATGAGCCACCGTGCCCAGGCAATTTTGTGACTATTTTTTGAAAACACATAGTATTGACTTCACAGGGACCACCAATCCTTTTATATCTTGACTTCCTTATTTTTGAGTTATTCATTTTGATTCTATGTCCTATGGAACAAGTTTTAAAATAACTTTTTAAGGAAGGCTATATTAGTGAAATTGCTTCTGATTCTTAAATATCTAAAAATATCTTTCCATAGCCTGTACTCAGGGATTAAATTTGGCTTGTAATAATATGCTTAGATAACGAAGATTCCTCTTTAGAGGAATACTTTTTACTATTTGGAGCTAGTGAATGACAGCAGGTAGCCTAATTTTTTCTCTTTTTGAGTAAACTATTATTTTCTGTCTTGTTGCTCACATACTGTTCTCTTTTTTCTAGATTTTTCATCTATGTCCAAGCATAAGCCTTTTTTTTCCATTAGCATAGGATTTTTTTTAACATAAGGGAAATTCTTTTTCTACTATGTTTGCAATTACTATTTCTGCTCCTTTTGTTCCAGCACTTCCAGAAATACTTGTTATCCATAAGTTAGATTTCTGCCACTTCACTCTGCCTCTATGTTCTTCTCCTACCATGTCATTCTCAGCCTTTTCTTCTACAGTCTTAGAAAACAGTTCCCAGACTGCATCGTTAATTCTGTTCTTTACTGCAACTGTGCATTTTTCCTTTTGGATATATCCATCTCTTATTTTGGCTGGCTCCATGTTTGATATGTGGAGGATATGTGGAATGATTTAAACCCACCTGAATGTGTTCTTGGGGTCTGGTGGAGCCTTACCTCAGATCTTTGCCTGAGGGATAAACTGATTTACACAATTCCTACCCTGGCTTCCTGCAGGTTCTCATCCAGTGTAGCTGCATTCCACAAAGGTGGATCTTGGCAGCTTTCTGCTTCTAGGGGCACTTCTGTTTCCAGAGCATTTGCTAAGAGAATATCCATCCCTATGTACCATCCATCCTCTTCCCTTCTACCTCTGCTATGTTGTACTTGGAGACGTGACCTTGAAGTTGATATAAAAAGGGGTGAATTGGAGGGGGAGAGTTGCAGGAACCTAATTCTGGCCTTCTTGGCACCTAATTCACATGCAGAAGGAGAGAAGCAATCTGGACTCTGGTTATAGCAGCCCTGAACCCCTGGCCTGGACAGAGAGTGGGAGGAGTAAAGCCTTTTCCTGAGATCCCATTGGCTATTCTGTGCTGGATCAGAAGATGAAATAGATATTGCTAGGGTGGACAGTGATCCTTCAAACCAACCCCACTGGCACTAAACTTGGTGGAAATTCCCTCTATATTTCTATCAATGCTGACACACGGTTTTATGCTTTTGCAGAGCTTCGTGGGGATTTTAATAGGAGATAGAATGCATCTTAGACCAACCCAATGTCAATTTTTACATATGCCTGATGCAGTTCCCCTCCCTGCCTTAGAGAACAATGTGCTCTTCGTCGATAAAAAACAATTATTTTTCAATTCTGATAAGGGCTGAAAATTATACCACTCATCAACTCCCATGGCAGCCACACGATGTTTACAGGTGGAATTCTACTAGACGATCTAAGGGCAGTTAAACAGAAGCATCCTGGCCTCTGCAGCAAGCAACAGTATCATGCAAAATGGCCTGTAGGAGCTCTAGGCCCTTCCAGAAGCTTGTCATTAAGCTGACTCATCTTTTACTAAATTTAACAGATAGTTCACCAGCAAGGATATCCCTTAAGCACATGTTAAAAGGAAAAATATAACACAGTTTATCTTTACCTTATAATAAATTCTGGTCACCAAACTCCGCTGAAGAACCTGTTCACGAAATTTCACTGCTTTCAACAGGAAGGCGAGATTATAGACTGTGTTCGTGTTAAATGCCAGGAAACTGGAGGAAAAGCACAGTGACCATCATTATCATTTTGGCCTTACCAAAGAATTTCATTTGAAAGAAATAGAGTGGGTTTGTTTTTTCAAAAATATTTTTTTCTATAGAAAAATAGTGTCAAGATACATAATCCTGCCATCTCTCACTGACTGTATTCATAATTCTTTTCAGTAATTTTCTGATAAATGCTTAGCTCAAGTTTATTCTAAGTGATTGTCCTGTGTCCTCGTATAGAGATCGTTTAGTTTCCTAATTTTTCCACTTACTATTGTATTATAAGTAGTGTTCAATATTATACATAATCTTTCTTAATTAATAGCTATACAATTTCTATGAAGTATAACTCAGTCATTATATAATTCATGTATAACTCAACCATTATACAATTCTTTCTTTCTTTTTTTTTTTTTTTTTCAGACAGCATCTTACTCTGTTCCCCAGGCTGGACTATAGTGGCATGATCTCAGCTTATTACCACCTCTACCTCCTAGGTTCAAGCAATTCTCCTCCCTCAAAGCCTCCCATATAGTGGGGATTACAGGCATGAGCCACCATGCCTGGCTAATTTTTGTATTTTTAGTAGAGACGGGGTTTTACCATGTTGGCCAGGCTGGTCTTGAACCCCTGACCTCAAGTGATCTGCCCACCTTGGTCTCCCAAAGTGCTTGGATTACAGGCATGAGCCATCATGCCCAGTCCCCACCATACAATTCTGTCAAGTGAGACTATAATAACCACTGCTGGGTATTTATTATCATTATTATAACTGGATATTAATAATCAAATATATCTGTTACAAAGTATTTGTCAATGGTTATTTATTAAATATATATATCAGGAATTTGGCTCATTATTTGCTGTGAATTATTCAATTTTCTCAATAATTCTAGAATACTATAATTATCCAATGTAAAGTTCAGGAAACTGAGGCTCAGCAAGATTTGGTAACTTGCTCAAGGTCACACAGGCAGAACTCAGTCAAGCTCAGATTTTGTTAAGGAACATCAGTATTTAAAGCAAGAGGCACCCCGGAGGGAAGTGAGAGGGCTGTGGGCAAGCACAGGGAAGGGTGTGCCACAGAGACGGCAGCTTTCTTCAGCAGGCAGCAATTCCCATCTTTCCCATTTGGCAAATGAGAAAACTGAGGCACAGAGGAGTTAAGAGATGTAAGCACAGACTCAAAGCAAGCAAGTTCTGCTTAAAAGCTTGTCAGCTTTTCATCATGAAACTCTGTATTTCATGCTGACTTTCTGGCCCCACCATGAACCTTTAGATAACACAGACAATCAGGGGAAGGGTTAATTCACACTTAGGGTTTCCCATAGTGCAGCCGCCTCTTGCCCTCCCCTTTCCCCACTTCCTGAGGAAATAAGTTATTATAAGACCCAAGTAACTTAAATTCACATTAACTAAAAATAAAAAACCCAAGTGGCTGTTGTTGCTTAATCAGAAGGCATGAGAGAAACGTTAAGAAGCAACTGATGTAGTGCTTTTGAGAACACCAAGTGCTGAATTAATAATCACCCTCCATTTAGACAGGGAAGAGGGAGGTATTTACATACCAATTACCAAGAAATTTAAATGATGTCAATGTTTATTCTGCATCTGGGCTTTAAGAAGGTTGGGTTTCTGCCTCCGCCTACTTAATAAAAGATGTAAAGAACTTCAATATATTATTATTGAAAAGTATGTTTTAGTCATCCAGGGGCCATTATTGGAAACTAGCTTTCCTGGAATGCAGACGGTAGAACATGTTTGTCAACCTGAGGCTGTGAACTGCACGTGCTGCAGGAAGGGGATCTCACCCACTCACCGAGTCACGTGAGTCACATGTCACATAGCTCTAGGAACCCGCCCACTGCAGAAGAGTGTGCGGACTCTCTTTAAAAACAGGAACATCACTAAAGGCAATCTCCTTGTAACTGCGTATTTTATGAGAAGATCCAAATGACTCTATTTTTAAATAAAGTTTACATTAAAATGTATCTCATTAGTCATCAGGGAAATCCAAATGGCAACCACGGTGAGATGGCCTATACATCCACCAGAATGACTAAAATTAAATACACTGACATGAAGTGTTGCCGAGGATCTGGAGAAAACAGAACTCTCATGCTTGCTGATGGGAGTGTAAAATGGTAAAATTACTTTGCAAAAAGTTGTCACAGTTTCTCATAAAACTAAACGCACACATACCATATGATCTAGCAGTTCCACTCCTACTATTTGCCTAAGAAATATAAAAACATATATTCACCAAAAGGTTTATATAAGAATGCTCATAGCAGTTCTACTCACAGAAGTGAAAAACTGCAAACATCCCAGGTGTCTACTCATCAATAAGAGAATGGAAAACAAATTCTACTGTATCCATAAAGTAAAGTACTGCAATAATGAAAAGGAACAAGCTAATCCACACAACAACATGGGTGAATGTCAGAGAGTACTATGCCAAGTTCACGAGGGAACTACAAAAGAGTACATACTGCATGGTTCCATTTATGTGAAGTTCTAGTGCAGAAAAACTCATCTGTAGTAGGAAAATATCAGAACAGTGGCTGTATCTGGGTGGTAAGATTGGCCAAGAAAGGACCTGAAAGAACTTTCTGGAGTGATGGTCCATATCTTAATACGAGTTTGGTTACAAAGGTATATGCATTTGTCAAAACTCAGTGAACGTACACTTAAGATTTATGTATTTTATTGTATGTGATTTCTACATAAGAAGAAAAAGAATTATAACTAAATATCTAACTCTAAAGATGTTCATGCTAAATTATTTAGAAATATGCTGATGTCTACAGGTTACTTTGAAATGGATCAAAAAGAGAAGATGAATGGATGGGTGAGTTCCATACATGAATCCATAGATGTGATAGTGATAGGTCAGGTACAGTAATAGGTTAATATAATCTCCATGGTTTGTACTTAAATGCTTCCTATAAAATTATTTCAACTTTGCTGAATATCTGTAAATTTTACAGCATAATGTAGAAAAACATCTTGGGTGCAAGGCAAAATCTTGACTTTTCTGGACACCTACCACCACCTCCTAAAGGTCCACAGGCTAATGAGAACAGGAAGGGCCCCAGTGGCAGGCCTCCATGTGGTAGGGAGTGAGGCAGCCCTTACAGGGACAAGCCAAGGCTGAATGGGACTGTCTGCAGAGCCAGGTACAGCCCCCTCTCAGAGCCACTTCCAGGGCTCGTCTTCCTGCCATGTTCCATCTGCCTTATCTGGTCTCATGGAAGCTTTTCAGTACCCTGACTGACTCCTCCCAGGCCCAAATGAGGGGTAGTTGCTGTATGGACAAATGGGTGCGCACTGGATGGATTTGAGGGTACTAATAAGTTCTCAGCCCATCTTTCCTCAGGTCCCCACCTGCTCAAGAGTACTTTTCTCAGGGCTGTCACTATGTCTACCATCCTACTGCTCTCGGAGTACAGACTCCTTGAAGGCAGAACCCCTAGTAACTGCTGATCACCAATGTGTTAAGAAGTGCCCAATACAAAGTGAGTGCTGAAAATACACTGATGACAAAGGCTTCTTTCACATAAAAGTCAGAGTGAGTAAAGTTTTGGGATTTAAGTGGATAAACATAGAGACTGAATCAGTAAAACCTAGATGTGTGGGAGAGAGATGTATACTGTTTTGGAGGTTAATAACTGAGACAAAAATAAATGGACTGGAACTTTCCAAATATTTACAATTGGAATACTGCCTTTGGCACATCTCAACTCCGTCCTGGAAAATGTGCTAGGAATATAGATTTGCATATGGGTGAGAGCATGTCATGCTTCCAAAATGATGGAAACAAGCCCTGCTCTGCTATCTGAAAAAGAAATGAAAGGGTAGATGATTTGCGGCCAGTTGGGGAACAAGTTTCCTGCAAGGATGGAACTGATTCTGGTGGGGAGTTGTACTATTCTTTCAATTCCTTAATATATTGGATAATTTTCAAACTAACACATTGGGGGAAAAGCTATCCATACTATACACTTCCCCCTCAGAGCTAGAAATACTAGGAAGACCCACTAACTCTAGAGTGTGAGGACAAATGGAGACATTAAAACTAAGAGAGACTCCAGTGAAACAGTCCTAACATGTAGGAGCTTGTGTTTTTAAGCTTTAAGATGGACCACAGTTTGAATAAACAGGTCCTGGGCAGCAATAAAAAAAGAAAAAAAAAGATAGATTACAGATTTCTCAATTTTACTTCATCCCAATGGCTATAAAAAATCCCAGACCATCATTTACTGTGTTTTCCATGTGTTTAATTAGGATTGTGAGATTATATTTTTTAATGATTAGTTTCCTCAGAAACTAGTTCAATACATTTGGATTTGGGGGACCAATAATCGCATTCCAAATACAAATAATAATTTAAAAATATGCAAAAGAAAAAAGCATAATAAGCTCTTTAAAAGTAATAAAGGAGACAATACATTCATAAGCATAAATCAGTGAAACAGAAAACAAAGGAACAACAGAAAGGATCAAAGGGAAAAGTTGGTTATTTGAAAAATAATAAACCAGACAAACATCTGCTGAGACTGAACAATACCTAAAAAAGAAGGCACAAGGAAGCATCTTAGAAATGACAAATGAGACACTACTACAGATCTAGGAGAAGTTAAAAAGATAATGATAGAATAGTACACAAAAAATTTTACACCAATAAAATCAAAACCAAGTCAATAAGTTCCTCGCAAAATACAATTTACTTAAACTGACATGAAAAGAAAAGCCTAGTCTTTAAACCCTAATTAAGCTAATTAAACAATTTAAAATACTCCTAAGCCCAGATTATTTTCAAATAACTTATCAAACTCGTCCACAGAATAAGAAACCACTCCCAAAATAACTCTATGAGAGTTGTGACACTGATGTAAATCTAAATCAACAATGTACAAGAATGGAAAATTATAAATATACAATAAAATTCCCCCAAAAAACTAGCAAGACAAATCCAGGAAAATATAAATATGATAATACAGCAAAATAAAATTGAATGTTTCTTAAGCATGCAAGGGTAGTTTAACATTAGATGATTTGCAAAAGTTATTCATCAAACTAACAAAATAAAGAAGAAATATACAATCATTTCAACAGATACAGAAAAACGTAATTTGATAACATGAATCTGGTAATGACAAAAATACCTTTAAATGTATAAGCCTCTTTAGGACGTAAAGTGTGTCAATCAAAAATTTCAGCAAACATCATTTTTTGTTGTGAAATATTAAACTAATTATCTAGGAAACTAGCAATACAAGTCTGGGAGAGGTGATTCATGCCTGAATTCTAGCACTTTGGGAGGCCAAGGAAAAGAGATTGCTTGAGGTCAACAGTTCAAGACCAGCCTGGGCAATGAAGACTGACACTGACTCCAAAAATAAAAATAAAAAAACATTAGCTGGGTGTGGTAGTGTATGCCTGTCATCCTAGCTACCCAAGAGGCTGAGGTAGAAGGATAGCTTGAGCTCAGGAGTTGGAGGTTACAGTGAGCTATGACATTCATGCCACTGCACTCTAGCCTGGAGGACAGAGTAAGGCCGTCTCTCTAAAATTAAAATCAGCAATAAGACAAAAGAACACCCTGTAAGATGGCTTCTATTCAAATTGTGTTGGTGGTCCTAGCTCTTGCTGTGAGACATGAAAAGAATAAAAGGAACAACAGTTGGAAAGGAAGAAATAAAAATTCATAATTTATAAATGATTATCTATGGAAAAAACCTCCAAAGAATCTATAGACACATTTAAAAGAAATTTCTGTACAGTCAGCTTTATACAAATAGCCAACTGCATGTATAATAAACCATTAACTACAAAAATCGTAAGTTAAAAATATTCTTTTAACACCAAAATAATAAAGTAACTAGTAATAAGTCTATGAAAGGATACACTATGTATGGAAAAAATTATAAAACCCTGAAGGACACTTGGAAGATGAAAATCTTTCAGAGGAAGACCTACTTTATAAATTGTCAATTTTTTTGCAAATCTATAGATTTAGTATACTTTCACAGAAACTTTCAGCAGGTTTTCAGGCCTGTGGTAAAATACAAATAACAAAACATTTATCATTTTCACTACTTCTTTTTTTGAGATGGAGTTTCACTCTTGTTGCCCAGGCTGGATTGCAATGGTGCAATCTCAGCTCACTAACTTCTGACTCCTGAGTTCAAGAAATTCTCCTGCTTCAGCCTCCCAATTAGCTGGGATTACAGGTATGTGCCACCATGCCCAGCTAATTTTGTATTTTTAGTAGAGATGGGGTTTCACCATGTTGCCCAGGCTGGTCTCGAACTTCAGGTGATACACCTATCTCAACCTCAGGTGATCCACCTATCTCAGCCTCCCAAAGTGCTGAGATTACATGTGTGAGCCACTGTGGCCAGCCCATTTTAACTATTTTTAAGTGTACAACTCGGTGATATTAAGTACATTCACATCATTGTACAACCAACACCACTATCCATTTCCACAACTTTTTCATCTTCTCAGACTGAAACTCTGTACCTATGAAACAATAACTACCAATTCTCTTCTCTTATTAGTCCCTGGGAACCAACATTCTACTTTCTATCTCTACAAATTGGACTACTGTGGATATGTCATACAAGTACAATGCTACAATATTCACCCTTTGTTTTATTTCTAAGAAACTTGACAAACTGATTACAAAACTTAAATGGCCAAAGATCCTGAATAGCCAACACAATTCTGAATTACATTTCTAATATAATAATATAATGTAATACTATAGTAATATTTTGTTTTAAAGTCAGAGTGATTATAACAGTGTATTGTTGGATCAAAAATATACAAAAAGACTAAGAAAAGAATAGTCCCAGAATGAACTCCCTAATAGATGGAGATTTAATAAATGCCAGAGGAGACCTTGCAGATTACTAGGAAAGAATGTCCAATTCAGTAAATGGTGCCAGAACAAATGACTGTCCCTAAAGGTAAAAAATAAAATTAGATCCCTTCCTCAAACCATGCACAAAAATGTTTATGTATTCAATAATTAAATATAAAAGGTGATACTTTCAAACTTTTAAAGATATAGATTTCATGACCTCGGAATAGATGATGCAGAAAGTGTTGGATATAAAAGAAAATATCGGTAAGTCTGAGTATAAGTAATGAATTTATCTCAATCAAAAGATCGTAAAGAAAATATGACAAGGCTGGGCACAGTGGCTCACATCTGTATTCCCAGCACTTTGGGAGGCCGAGGCAGGTGGATCACGAGGTCAGGAGATTGAAACAATCCTGGCTAATATGGTGAAACGCCACTCTACTAAAAATAAAAAATAAATAAATAAATAAATTAGCCAGGCATGGTGGCATGTGCTTGTAGTCCCAGCTACTTGGGAGGCTGAGGCAGAAGAATCACTTGAACCCAAAAGGTGGAGGTTGCAGTGAGCCGAGATCGCACCACTGCACTCTAGCCTGGGCAACAAAGTGAGACTCTCTCTCAAAAAAAAAAAAAAGGAAAAAGAAAAAGAAAAAAAAAGAAAGAAAATATAGGCTGGATGTGGTGGCTCACGCCTGTAATCACAGCACTTTGGGAGGCTGAGGCAGGTAGATCACCTGAGGTTGGGAGATTGAGACCAGTCTGACCAACATGGAGAAACCCTGTCTCTACTAAAAAAATACAAAATTAGCCACGTTTGGTGGTGGGTGCCTACCATCCCAGCTACTTGGGAGGCTGAGGCAAGAGAATCACTTGAACCTGGGAGGCAGAGGTTGCAAGATCGCTCCATTCCAGTCCAGCTTGGGTGACAAGAGCAAAACTCTGTCTCAAAAAAAAAAAAAAAAAAAAAAGAAAAGAAAAGAAAAGAAAATATGAGACAAGCCACACACATATAAAAGATAATTAAAGCATTTATAATAACAAAGGATAAAGATCCCTTAAAAATCAATAAGAACAAGACACACACACACACACACACACACACACACACACACACACACACACAATAAAAATAGGCAGAAAACATGAACAGGCATTTCACATAGGAAGAAATACAAATGGCAAACAGACATTTGAAATCATGCTCATCCTTAATAGCAATCAGGAAAATTCAGTTTAAAGTCAGGGTGAGGGATCATTTCTTATACTGTATTGACAAAAATTAAGAAGTCTGATAGTACCAAGTGTTGGTGAGAACAGAATATGGGTCCACAAGATACATGCTGCTAATGGAGGTATAAATGTATACAACCACCGTGAAAAGTCATTTGTCACTGTCTAGTAAAGTTGAACATTATTCCATAACACAGTAATTCCACTCGTAGGTAATACAGTCCATAGGGGAGAGTTTTTCAAACAAGAGATTGCAAATAACTAATAGGTCATAAAATCAGTTTAAGGATTGGGGTCAGTATTTTTTTTTTTTTAGGCAGGTTCTCACTCTGTTGCCCAGGCTCCAGTGCAGTGGCATGATCTCAGTTCATTGTAATCTACGCCTCCCAGGCTCAAGCGATCCTCCTGCCTTAGCCTCCCAAGTAGCTGGGACCACAGTCATGTGCTACCATGCCTGACTAATTTTGGTATTATTTTTGTAGAGACAAGGGTCTCATCATACTGCTCAAGCTGGTTTCACTCCTGGGCTTGAGCAATCCCTTCTGTCCTGGTCTCCCAAAGTGCTAGGATCACAGGCATGAGCCACCATATCTGGCTGAAATCAGTATTCTGCTAAGATCAGTATTCTTTAAAAATAAAATTTAAAAATATCAGAGAGCATCATTAGTAATAAATAGGGAGGTGGCCACTGCTCCATGAACTGTTTGCTTCGGTTGCATTTGAGGTGGAGGCCCCATGGATACACGGGTGTCCACAGTGATTTAAGGTATATTTCTTATTCTAAGTAATGTCAATTAAGTTTGGAAGTCCTATAATAACTCTTGTGCACATTCCCCAGAAAACATGTATAGGGTTTTTCATAACAGCATCATGCAAAATATCAAAAAACTGTACACAACTCAGAATATTACAGAATACTGTGAAGAAGAGTTCTACAGCTATACATAACAATTTGAATGATTCTAAGAAACAAAATATCAAGTGAAAACAAAGTTACAGAATACTACATATATTATGCTTTATTTATAAAGTTAACAGACAATACTGAAAGATCAATACAAACAACCAAAAGCATGGATCTTGAAACCAGACTGTCTGGGCTCAAATCTTACCTCTGCCACTCACTAGCCGTGTAACCTTGAGCAAGATACTTAACCTTGGTACCTCAGTTTCCTCATCTGTGAAATGGAAATAAGAACTTACCTCATGGGGTTTTTAGGATTAAAACCTGTAAAGTGCTTAGAACACTGAACATGAAATAAAAAAGAAATTCAAGCAGAAAGGACAGAATGAGCAATATTTTAGTTTTTAAATTGGTAGTGAGTGAATGAGCATTAATTTTACATATTCACAGATTTTTTGCATATAGCAAGTATTAAACATTTCAAGCAAGAGTGAATTACACCAAGGCTCTATGAATTCAGGCTTCATGATAAGCCACTGAAGGCAGATGACAATGACGGCTCCAGTCATACGTACCTGGTTCTCAGCTTGTCCCCCACAGACTCAGCCCAGTTTTGGAGCAGGCCGAAGAGTGGTTTTTCTTCATACTGTTTGGCGTATTGGGCCGGCAGTTCCCGCCCCACAATCTGTACAAAGAGTTTATCACTCATCAGTCTCAGCAGTGTAAAAAATGACAGTGTCCTTAATACTGCAATCTGATAACATGTATTTATCGCTTAGAGAACTCCTTGGAAGGAATCAAATACAAGACCCGATTCTTACAAGGGCCTCTATTTCCCCAAGGCAAATGTGGAGCATTTACCACACTATTCCCCATCCTCCCCTGTGGTGGACTTCACTAACTACTTACTGTTCACTCTCTCTTCTTGCCTGTATCAGTCTCTAACACTGGCCCTGGGATCAACTATTTTAGCTGACACTTTAGTAAAACCCGTTTGCCTTCGTGAACCAGATGGCTGGTCCATTCTCTTTTTCACCCCTGACATTCTCTGGTCAATTAGCCCTTTGGGGAATAGTATTGAAATGCACAAATAAAACAATCTCTATCCTCTATCAATCGTCTACTTCAGCAGCTTTAAAGTTATAATTTGGGCCTAAAATACTGCCTGCTTTTCTGCGGTGGTTCAAAGAAGATGTCTATGGCTAGTCCGCTGCAGAAACTCAGTTGATGGTTAGCAACAACCACTAGACATGTGAGTGAAGTCACCTTGGACCAGTGTGCCCCCACCAAGCCCCGACATGCTGCTGCCACAGCATGAGTGCCCAGGAAAGACCAGCAGAAACCACAGGGTGTGAGCCCAGCACAAACTGCTGATCCTACAGAATCATGCTAACAAACTGTTGTCTCAAAGCACTAAGTTTTAAGAGTGGATACCTTATTCATTCTCTTTCAACTACCAATTTCAGAATATTTCTTGCTATATATGAATGCATGTTTTTATATAGATCATCTAAAATGTTATGTATGCTTTCAATCAAGAGTATATCATAAATGACATTTTTGGTTTGCACTATTACGTAGAATTTTATTTGTTTATTTACTGGCTGTATAACTTTGTTTTGATAAATCATAGCTAATGAAACATTTCCATTTGGTTGAATACTTAGGTTGTTTCCAGTTTTACATTATCATAATAACCTTGATAGCAATATAGGCAGATATAGAGCACAGTCCTATTTTGTATTATTACCTGAGAATAAATCCCCGTGAACTTGATTGATACAGAGGTTCTGAAAGAGGGCCACCCTGCCAGTAAGAGGGATGCTGAAAACTTTCAAGACGTTTTTGCCTAGGGGAGCTTTACTGGTGTTGATGGGCAGAGCCAGGTGTGAAATGCATGGGACAGTCTCAACCAACAGAAGACTGTGCCATATCCCATGTCCTGTGAAATGCCATGTGGTCAAATACATTCAGGCAGTTAACAGCCCTGAACTTAGTTACACCAAAGCTTTCAGGTTTTCCAAGTCCCAGGTGTATGGAAAAATTAAACCCTGCTCCCCTGAAATTAGAGGTGCTTTAGGCCAGCACACAAGTGACACACCTTACTCTCCTTTCCCATCACCATGGCAACCTGCAATGCTCCCAGGTGTGACTGGTCCATAAGCTTGGGCATCTGCATTCAACACAGAAACAGTAATTCTGAGTATAGATGCAGGAATTGTATGTCTTGGTGTATTTGTGTTTACTTTATTACTGAAGAAATATATTTAATAATATATTTGTAATATAAATAACTTCCCTTTGGTTTCCTTAAGTATTGTCTTGAATTCCTGCAATTATGTCTCTAGATAGGTTATGTGATCCACTGCATTATGGGTCAAAGAACATATAATTTTTATGACTGCTGCTATACGAACTAAGTGTGAGAATCAAACTCTGCCAGGATTGGAAAAGTGGGGAAAATAAACTAACTATAACTAGAATTAAAATTAAAACGATACAGCAATCCAATTCCATTTCACTAACACAACACCAGGATTAAGATTGACCTATGTTTTTGCTAATCTATAAAATTTATGATAGTTGTAACACTATCTCACTCTCGCTGCAGAAGTGCTGTCATTCCAAGTATGAACAAATCGCTTTCTCTGATTCCCACCCCCACCCCTACAGCTTTCCCTTACTCTATTTTCTCCATAGTATTTATGGCTTCTTGGTGCTACAGACCACAACTTGTTTACTGGCTTGCTGTCTTCCTGCAGCCTGGAAAGCAAGTGCCAGGGGTCAAAGTGTGTCCATCCTTGTGCCATCAGGCAATGTACTGCACAGAGCCCGGAGGTGCGGACTCACCCTTGAATGAGTGAATGAATAAGTACATTCCCTTCCTGTTCTCCATATCTCATCCAATACGTCCAATTCCTTGATAATCTCCTTTAACTTCAGTCACTACTTCCACTTTTTCCATTTAAGCAACTAAAATTGGGTAAAACTAACTCACTCTAATTAGGATCAAAATTAGAATGATACAATAATCAAGTTCAGGTGCTAAACTTAAGAAAGACAAGGGAGATAAACACAGTCCTGACTAACAACACAAAAGCAGATTACTCACTTTGGATCTTTGCTCCTTTTCTAGGTCATGAGACAAGGAAACGTGATTTTAAAAATGAGTTTATTTTCTGCTGTTGATGTCCCCTTGATGAAAGATTAAGTGATTGAAGCTATCAGCTACCATGGGATTTGAGCATTACAGTCTCCAGATCCAGTACTTTATTTTATAAATTACCAGGCAGAGGCAAAGATAGATCAGTCACCACCTAGACTGAGTGGGCAATGAAGATGTGCTTGTTTAATCTCATAGATGTGCTCCTGAACATATTATATTATGTAATATATATATGTGTGTGTGTGTATGTGTATAATTTTTAATTATATTTAAAAATAATTGTAGACTCACAGAAGTTGTAAAGTCTGGTGTTTTACTTATTCCAGATTTTCTTAAGACAACTTGTGATAGGTGATTGTGGGTGGTGTTTCTGTGGCTCTTCTGCTGTTCTCTGGTTCTGCATGTTCTGCTGGTCTTGCACTCTTTATTTTCATATACACCTGCTCAGGATCCCCTTTCTTAGTAGAACTCTAGGGTGAGTGAGCAGTCAAAACATTCATGTTCTTTTCTTTTAAAAAAGATCCCATTCAGAGGAGGAATCAAGCAAATCTACAGCGAACATTTGGAAACTATGAGTCTTAGCAATTGTGCAGAATGATGACATCATCAACATGCATTTGCAATAAATATCATAGGCATCATGCAACATGATTATGTAATACCAATAAAAGTTATTTTTTAGGTCAAAACGCTTTTCAAGGCATCTATGAAGCAACCAGCATTTCCACACACTAAATAGTTCACTGATTTATGCTAGGTACAATGAAACTTGGATTAAAGAGCCTGACAAGTAGAAGCTGCTGCCAAGGCAGAAACACTTAGAGCCAATTATAATAGAAAAATGTGATTTCTAAGGAAAATCCACCAGATATACATTATGAGTCCAGGCAGTGGGGCCGCACGCGGGTTTGTACCATAGAGTGGTAGATTCACTCAAAGTATCAGTACTTATGGTAGTGGGCCTGAAATCATGCCCCAAAGAGCTCTCGGTAGACTGTCTACATAATTTGGGGCCCAGCACAAAATGAAAATGCAGGCCCTCATGTTCAGAAGTTATTAAGAATTGTATGATGGTGAGAACAGAGCACTGAACCAAGCATGGTCCCTTCTGAGTGCAGGGTTCTGCACCACTGCACAAATCTCACCCCATGAAGCTGGCCCTGGCCCTAGGGATTCTAATAGGATTGCCAGATAAAAGAGAGGACACCCAGTTTATATTTGGACACCCAAATATTGCATGGGAGATACTTACACAAAAATAATATTCATGTTTACCTGAAATACAAATGTAGCTGGGCATCCTATATTTCTATTTCCTACATCTGGCAAGCCTAGGTTCCTAAGGGCATTTCAGAGGTCACCTAGGGGTATGAGAATGAAGAAAAGACCAAGTGGATATGAATTTCCACCATCATGCATTTTAATTCTTTACCTCTTTTAGATGCTGGACATTCCATCAAGGCAAGATTTCTTTGAGGAGAATCTTTAAAAATTCCCTGGCTAGAAGAAATAAGAGACAGGGATGGAGGGGATGACAGAAGAAGAAGGGAGGGAAGAGGAGAGAAGGCGAATAGAGGAGAGGAAGAGAGGGGAGAGACTAGAGGAGAAGGAGAAGCGAGAGAAGAGAGGGGAGGGGAAAGTGAAGGGGAAGGACTACTTTAGCACAGAAACCAACATGTAAGCAGCTCTAAGTAATTGCTGGGCCTTAAACATGGATTTGACCCTGGAACCTGGGAGGCAGAGGTTGCAGTGAGCTGAGATTGCAGCACTGCACTCTAGCCCGGGCGCAGCACGAGACTCAATCTCAAAAAAAAAAAAAAAAAAAAAAAACACCAAACAAAACCAAAACAAAAAAACATGAATTTGAACTTCAAACCAGGAAGGATGGATGGATTTGAAGCAGTAGTTTAGGCCCAGCAAAAATTCATGCACAGTTCAATTTAACTTAAGAGTGTTTACTTTTGTGGTTCTCAGTTAAATCTGGGCCAAGTTTAACTTATCTTCTTAGTGTCTCTTTTCAGTTAGATATAAAGTGGTTTCCCCTTTCTGGTTTCCCTCCTTCATTCCAGCCACATTTATGGAGCACTTTCTATGTACAAGGCACCTACTATTTATACTGAGTATAGGGAACATTAAAAAGATGAATAAGATACAGCCATCCCTCGGGGTCTTCCAGTGCACATGGAGACATCAGCCTATGCACACTCAGCTGTACTCAGGGGGATCTGTAAGGAACTCAACAGGCACAGAAGCAAGTCAAAAGTACATCCCTTACTATGAGGATCAGGGAAAGCTTCCTGCAACCGGAGAGCTTTTGACCTGAGCCTTAAGGAATAAATGAGCTTCATTCATTTGTTGATCTATTTATACAACACCTAATAGCAGTAACTACTCATTTTCTTTGAGTATCTATTTACTAAGGCTAAGCTCTGTTCCAGACTCTTTAGGTGAAATACCTAATTTAGTCTTCATGACAACTTTGGGAGTAGTTCGTGGAATCACTCACCCCACTGTCCACA